TATATATATGTGTTTATATGTTATTTACATTTATCCATTTTGCAGTCATTCGTTTCTTTTTTTTTTTTTTCTTGGGTTTTTAAGTTTAGTTTGATAACATTTTGGAAGTATTTTTGCTTTGTTGTTTGTTTCATTTGTTTCATCTTGAATTTGTTCTTTTTCTTTGTATGATATTTTCACACACAGGCACAGGCACATGCACAGTGTGTGCATGTGTGTGTGTATGTGTGTGTGTTGTTGCTGTCACTGTCTGTTTGCGCTTTAGACTTTTCACTGGCCTAGTGCTGCTCCTGACGACTTGCTCAGCCTCTACCAAATCCCCCTCCTGCCGGGCTCTGCTGCTGCTCCCAGGCCACTTGCAGCAAGCTGCTTCGTTGTATATCCCTGCTTTTTCCTCTCCTTCTCCTTCTCTGTCTCTGCTTCTGACCCTTCGCCTCCTTCTGAGCGAATCACATTCTGCTTCTCCTAGACTGATTCGTACTGCTCTTGTTTAGCAAGTAACGCCGTAATCGCCGTCTTCTTCTCCTTCTTCTTTTCCACGTTCTGCTTCCAGCTGTTCGCCGACCAGGTGAGTCTGTGCCTTGGGCTCATCTTTATCTAACTCAGCTTGCTGCTCTTCTCCAGCTGGTTGCTCTGCTATCTCGTCCTGCTTCTCCTCCGCCACTCGCTGACCCTCCTCATGCTGCTCCGGCTGCTGGTCCCGCTTCTCCTCTGGCTCTTCCTCCGCTGGTGGTGTTGGCGTCGTTACTGAGCCAGTGCTCATAGGCGTCGGCGTTCCACTCACCTCCAGCGATAGCTCCTCATCGTTGGATGGGGGCGTCTCTACCGTAATGGGGTGCAGCGCTTGCTCGGCAGCCAAGGCATTCGCCTCATCCTCCAGCTTCTGCAAATGCTTGCGCAACTCCTCTTCCTGCTGCTCCTCAAGCAGTTGCTGCTTGGCCATGCGACTTTCCTCCAGCTGACGCATCAGATCCGGCGGCAGCTCACCCGTATAATCGATGGCAGCAAACGGTTCCGTCGTGTCTATATTGATCGCCTGCTTCTTCTTATCAGCAATCAGTTTCCACATGTTGAGTAGCGTATTAAAATTAACGCCAGGTGGTAGAGTCAAGGCATCTCCACTGGCTCCAGATGCAGCTACAGCTGCGGCTGCAGCGGATGATGTAGCTGCAGATCCACTTGCAGCAGCTGGGCCATTGTCCACCATAATCTCATCCTCGTCCTCGCTGCTGCTGCTGCTCACAGCTCGAATTTGTGGCTTGTGCTGAAGCTTGTTGGACGACGACGTCGACGCCGGAGCCGACGTCGTTGTCGCTGTCGTCTGCCTGGCCAGCATCACCTGCCTTGAGTACTCATTGAAGTCCAGTTGGACGGAACTGCGCCTGGACGTGGCCACCTCCTCAGTGCTGCTGCCCAAGATTTGGTTATATTCGCGCAAGCCCAACTCCTCCACGGGCACGTAGTGCTCCCCAATCTCGATCAGATAGACACAGCGATTGACATGGGAGCGGAACAGTTCCTCCTTGTGATTGGGCACCCACACATGGACCACATGACCCACCATGCCGGTGCTCGGCTCCCAGTCCTTCCAGCTCAGACGACCGCCATTTGCGCGCATATGATCGGTGGGCCACACGACGGCGTCTATAATATCCAGGCAGTCATAGATCTATCAGAGGGGGGACAGAGAATCAGCTCATTAGTCAGGTATTCCAAAATAAATGGCGAATTGTTTACTGAATCGATCGGGAACTAAATGAACTCAGTGAACTAGTTCATCAAACAGGATGTGATGAACTGGTTCATCAAAATTAAGTTGAGTTATGGAACAAGTTCCCATTCAAGTCCATATCTCAGTTCTGGGATTGAGTAAAGTTATTCATGGTCTGCCTCACTCACCCCCGAATCGTCCACAATTATGACCTTCCTATAGATCTCGATGCGTGGTTTGCGCGGCGTCAGCTGCGCTGCTGCAGCTGCGGTAGTCGTAGCCACAGCTGTTCCGGCGCTCGTGCTAGCTGACGAGGATTCACTGGCCATGAGGCAAATGGGTCCCTTGGTCTTGCGTGGATAGTCGCCGGGCGTGGTTATGATGTTGCCCACACCCATGCCGACGCCCAGGCTGCCCGTCGAGGAGGAGGCCAGCTTGTTGGAGCGCGGACTAATCTCCTGTTCGCTTAGCTCCAAATGAGTTGCATGCGCCGGCGGCAGCGCCTCGACGTCCACGGCAGCGCCGCTAGCAATGGGCAGAGTGGCGCGACGAGCGCTGCTCTGCAGGGTGATGCCACTGCGGGTGCGTTGCCCACTCACGCCAGGGGCGCTGCTGCTGCTGCTGCTGGCGCGCAGCGTGGAGCCGGGCGCCGATGTGGAGGCCGTGCCGTCCAGCTCCCTTTCTCGATTCAGCAGTCCAGCGATGAGCGTAGTCGATGTTGGCTTCACAGGCATCACGGCCAGGCCGCCGCGGACCACGGCCAGAGTGTCGCCCACATAGCTGCCAGCCAAGCCGGAAACATTGCCGGGGCGCACGCCGTAGTAGCTATTCACGGTCAGCGTATTGTACAATGGAGCTGAGATGAAGACAGGGGGCAGGTCAGTGGAGTCGCCGCCTGTGCTGCTGGCAGTGCCGGGTGCACTGGCTGTCGCGATGGCACCTCCAGTACCGGCTCCGACACCTGCAGGTGGGCCACCTACCGTTCCTGGTCCTGTTCCTGCTCCCAGCCCAGCTCCTCCCCCTGCTCCCGCTCCGGCACTCGCCGATCCCGCAGTGGAGCCAACGACACTGCCACCGCTGCCAAAATTACAATTGCCCAGCTGTTGCATAGACGCCTCCATGGCCGATCCCGAGCTGCAACCCTGGCGGCAGCGTTCCCGTATGCGATGCCACCAATCGAGCACCGTCTGCCGGATCGTGTCCAAGGTGATGGCGCCGCCAATCACCTGGCACAGCTGGCCATTGGTGTCCGCATAGGACGTGGTCAGTGGCGAAACGTAGATGGGATAGCCGATGGGCTGATCGCAGCTGGAGTTGATGATGTTCCTCAGCGCCTGCTTGGCGTTCTGTATGCTGCCTCGCTCCGGATTGCGATTCCTCAGATAGATCAGCTCCTGCTGTTGTCCGGCCCAAAGGCCGCGCACGCATTCCCGATTCAGTTTGATGACACGAAAGCTGAGGAATCGCTTCGTCAGCCTTATGATGCGATACTCATCGGAGCCGTCCTCCATGACATGGCGCAGTGCCAGCAGATTGGGCGCGCCACGTAGCACAGCGCTGCGCCATTGCGGGTCTGCCTCGTGCGAGATGACCAGCTCCTTGGAGCAGCTGTCGATGGCCTCGTACAAGGCCAGCGGATCGAGGAACTCATCGGGATTCGTAATGTGATCCTGCTGCAGTTTCAAGGCCATTTTCACAGCGGGCGCCACCACCGAATGGAGCAGCTCCATGTCGGCAAACACCCATTCGTCCCGTGGCGAGGTGATGCGGAAGTCGCCCTTGAAGAGGGCGTGCAGCCCGTGCAGAAAGAACTCCACGCCCGTCAGCGAGCTATGCGAGGCGGTGGCCAAGGAGCGGCGAGCGAGCAGGCCCAGTGCCAGGCACAGCGACACCAGCGGCGCATCCTTCGAGACGCTGGGCGCCTTCAGCTTGATGGTGGGTCGCTTCGGCGGTATGGGCGGCGCTGTGCTAGGCAAAATCGTGGTCAGGTTGCCGTCCTGCTGCGCCAGGGCTGCAGCAGCTGCAGCGGCGGCTCCGACGGGCTGCTGCAGCCGAGGCGAGTCCTTCTTGCCCGGCGTCGTCTTGGCCAGCTTGACAAAGACATTCTGATCCATATAGGCGACGTAGCCACTCAGGCCGGGCGCACTCTCCGACGTCTGCCGCGAGATGTTCGCGAAGCTGTGCGAGCTGCTCAGCTGATCTAGGCCCGCGAGCACGTCCCGGCTCTCCTGCACCACGCCCGGCGTCGCGCTCATCGTGGCGCTCTTCTGCGGCCGCACGCTGCGCAGCTGCTGCTGCGACTGAGACTTCGACTGAGGTGTGCTCGAGGCGTTATGCGCGGACAGATTCGGCGTGCTCTTCGAATCGTTGTGGGCGGGCGTGTTGCTCGCTGACACCTGATTGCTGGCCAGCTGGTCCATGGGCACAGCAGCTGGAACCGCTGCAGCAGTTGTCGTCATCGAGCCGCTGGCCGAGACCGGCGCAAGGACAGCGGCTGAGGCTGGAGCCGACGCGGAAGCGGAGCCAGAAGTGACGGGTGTTGCAGCCGCTGCAGCGGCAACTGTGGCTGCAGCTGTGGGAGCAGTCGAGATAACAGTTGGAGCTGCAGCAGCTGGCGGCTCCTTGGCAGTGTGCACCTCCTTGCGCTTGTCCACGCAGTAGTTGATCCACTTCAGGTACACATAGCAGAAGCTGGAGCGGGTTATGCCCACGGCGCGGAAGTCGAAGTCCTCATCCAAGTTGAAATTGAATATGGGATCCAGATCGACGAATTGACGGCTCAGCGTATGCTGCAGTGCATCCTGGATGGGTCCAGCCGCAAGCCATTGCTCCAGCTTCGGATTGCGTACCACATAGTAGATGATGCTCTGTGGGAGACGCAAGATGGAACATGTTCATCAAATGTAATATGAATACAATGAACATTAGAGGAACTAGTTCATCAAATACAAAATGAAATAGCCTGAGATAGAAAATGAATGAATGAAATCAATTCAATTGGAGCATTAACGAATAAAATGAACTAGTTCATTTCAAATAGAAGAAAATGAGTTCAACCAGCTCATGACTAATCAAACGAGAGAATCAATCAAAGATTATTGTTGACCTTGAACTGTTAACTTAGAAACGAGTTCATCTGAGACAACATGGACAGTTTAAATGAACTAGTTCA